TATAAAAAAAGGATGGTTTGTGAAAACTTTAAATCTTGATGTACTTGAGTGATAAAAAAAAACAAAAGAACATGGTCTGTGTGCGAAAAACTAATGATAATTGAATATCATGAGAAAGGGTATAGCAAATATTCAATTGCTAACAAATTCCAGATAGAACTGAAGCAACTTTGAAAATAGTTAAGCAAAAAATCAGACCTTATGAAAGCAGCACCTTATATTCAAAAGTTGTCACATGGGGCTTGACCAAAGTATCCAGAGCTTGAAGCCAAATTAATTGAATAGTTTTGAAATCTTGGGTAGGACTGTGATACAAAGTTACAATCTTACAATATATGTATTTTTACATAAATTTTAGTAAATCAAATTAAGCTGGCTGTACAAAAGTTTGTCATATATTATTGTATCATTTTTTATTCAATTACATGAAACATTTACAAAATTTACTACAAAATTACATCAATTACGAAAAACTATAGTAATTTAACAACCCTAATCTTAGGTCTCAGCAAAAAGTTGTAAGCTGATATATAATTCAAGCTAAAGCCCACATTCTGTGTGCTATATCATGTTATCAAAATATTTATGGAGAGGCACAAAGTAATAAGTTTTCACAAAAGTGGGTAAATGGCTTTATGTTCAGAAATAATTTAGTAAACAGAAAACGAACTACTATTGCTTAATGCCTTTTTGAGAGTTATATTGAGAATCAAAATAAATTTTTGTCTCTTGTGCTCTTTAAATTGCGTAAATACAATTATCCTCTATCTTTAATCAGTAATATGGATAAAACCGCTATAGCTTTTAGCATGTTAAGCACCACTACAATCAAAGAAAGTAGCACTAAGACTATATCAGTTTTGTCAACTAGGTATGACCATTCAACTTTTATAGTTGTTTTGGCCTGTTTGGTCGATGGTACTAAATTGCCGCTATTAATAATTTTTAAATTAACTAAGATACCTTGTGAAGAATTTTCTGACAGCATTATTGTACATGCGAACCTTTCAGGGTGGATGAATGAAGATGAAATGTTGTGATAGGTGTAATAATAATTGTATTATTAATTATTGTAGCATTATTTTTTTTAGTCTTTATTTATTGTGGCAGATTAAAATTAAAATAAAATTTTGTATAATTCAAAATTGACAAGTCACTAAAAAATATAAAATTTTGGGATGAATTTTTTAGTTTTTTTTTTTTGAGTATTAGGGTTAGCTTTAAGAGTAAAATTTATATTAAACAAGTATAAGTGATTTTAGGATTAAATAGAAACTCCAAATTTTGTTTTAATCTGATTTCATTATGATCTGTGATATTCATTGCATATTTAATTTGTCATTTCTAGGTGGGTGGAGAATGTTTGGGCACAATGAGTACGATTCAGAAATAACCCACATTTCTTGTTAATCTTGAATTCATTTGCTGCCCACAAAACTGATTCTGTAAAATAGCATTTTGAAGAAAAGAATACTGACTTGGCTTTAATTCCTAGTGGCCTAACATCTCACTTACAACCCCTTGACATATCTATGAATAAACTATTTAAATCAAAGGTAAAATCAAATAATATTTGAGTGAATACTATGATGACATTAGTAAATACTATGATGATATTAGAGAATTATGCTTTCTTATTACATTTAAATTTTTCTTACATCTAACAATCTAATTTTAAACTCTTTTTTTTTTTTAAAAAAAAAAAATAATAATAATTATGAAATTTTTATAATCAATGGATAGACGAAAGAATTAAAGAATACACTAAAACTGGCAAAATGAAACATCCTTCATACCTTTTGGTTGCTACTTAAGTAAAAAGGCTTGGAAAGCTATTGATATTAACCTGATTAGAAAGTCTTTTAAATGTTGTGAGATTTTCAATATGATGGACGGAACTGAAAATGATCTAATTTTTAACTTCACGAAAGTTACGAATGAAACAAACCTGAGAAGAGGAATTAAAGATCAAGAAGAATTGGATGAAGAGAAAAAAGAGGAAAATGGTAAAAACAATAATGCAAATAAAGGTGGATTGGTTTATGATAATTTCTATGAAGAAGGTGAAGACTTAATAGTCACTTAAGATTAAAATTAATAAAACTCCACTATCGCAACCTAATGATTTAATGCTAGATAGTTGCTCACTTGAGTATTTAGATTTTAATAGCAAATTTTATAAATTGCAAGCAAAAAATTTTTTTTTGTTTAAATAATCAAATTTTACAATCATTGAATAAAGCAAAAAGATGAACATGTGAAAATAAGAACATTAATGAGTGTAATTAAAAGTTCACTTTAAAACTACAGAATATGAATATGTATTTAAACAGATTTCTTTTAATAAATTAGACAATATTCAAAAGGCTGATAGTAAATTTTAGTAATCTAGTTAGATATATAAATATGTGTATTTACATATATATTATCATACAAAGTTGAGCTTAAAATTTTATATAGTTTTCCAAAATTCATTATATTTAGTAAGTTAAAATTTGTTTATTTGCTTAATCAGAATTATATATTTATAATTTAAATTTATAAGATTTTAATCTATCAGAAAATAGAGAACTTAAAGCACAAAGTATATGGACTAACTCAAGATATTGCAGCCGATTTAATATATCTTTTGCTGGTGTCAAACATGTAGCTCTCAGAAAACACAAGTGAAAATAAAAATATCGATAATTGCATTAAAAATTTTTCACTTAAAGCTACTGAATATAAAGATATTATCAAGTAAGTCATATTTAATTATTACCTATTCTATCAGGTATCTTACATCTGTAATTTAATTTTATTTAAATTATTAGGCTGTTTTTGTGAAGTTGAATTTATGTATCATTTTACTGATTTAACAAGGTATACAGGAGTTCTAAGATAATACCTTTATTATAAAATCTAGTATCAAATTTTAAAAATTGAAAAATTTTAAAACTTAAGATTTTTATTATAAAGTAAAAAAATTAATAAATAACTCAAGTGAAACAATTTGATCATAATTATTACATCCATTATATACATTTCTATTAAATACATATTGATTAGTTTAATATTTCTTGTAATTTAATTCATGATAATTTTACTGCTATACATATAAAATGTTAATAAAACATTGTGACTCTAAATAGTAAGTATATATGCAAATAAACATGGCCGTAGATAAATAAATTACATGATTAGATGCAAGTAAACAAGATAGATTACACGATAAATGCAATTAATCAAATATCACAATACAAAATATATGGGTCTTATATAAAAACACTATCTTCAAGAATTATAAAATATCTGGGTATCGTGCTTTGCTAAAATAAAATGTGCATATTGTGATACTAACCAAGCATATATTACAAAAATAAACAATCGCATTATTATCAAATAATTTCATCTCAGTCTTCTGTTTTTTCCAGAAAAATTGTATTTAAAATAATTAAATTTAAGATCATACTATTATCACGAAGTTGTTTTTATGTAGAATTATATATTTATAATATCAAAAAATTTTTAACTTAATATTAAAGCTAGGATTAGATTTTAAATTTTAAATTAGGGGTTTGGAAAAGCTTTCAAGTATGCTGCTGAACATTTTACTTTGCTAATAAACAAGAGAATTAACATCTAAATAATGCTGAACTCACATCTAAGATTTGAAACTTTTTTTCATAAAAACAACTATCTATAATATAAGATTATACTAAATCTTAATTCTATGTTGAAACAAGTATTCATAATGAGGTTTGCTTTTAGCAATTAAGTCATAAACATGTTGAGGATATTTAATTTCTTCATCATTATTGATTGATTTGTCAAATCCTGTGCTTTGCATTACATTTCTGTTTTTTATTTATAATATAGTTAATATATAAAAAGAAAAATTAATTAAAAATAATAAATATACTTATGCTACAAATAATCTATAGCTAGGTCTAACAATTTTAAATCCTATATTTTTAGCCTTTTTTCTTTCTATTCAAGCATTTTTTCTTAAATTCTATGTTGACCAGCTCACAATATTTTCTTAAAATTTTTTCTGGTTCTCGAACTAAATTATCAGCATCTACTAAAACAATCTCCTCTCTCGTTATGTTCTTAGTTAAATAATAAAGAATCTTGATTCTTTGAGCCAAACTTTTTTAGAAAAAAAAATGTCATATCCGAATTAGGTAAACAGGCTTTATTCCAAGCTTTATATATAGAATTTGCAGCTTTGTAAAAAGACTTTATAGATTTTTCTGAATTTCTAATTATAAATATATGTTAAATTTTGAAAGAATTTTCTTGAATCTTAATGGATTTTTTTCTAAATTTCCTTCTAATACATCTAAAAAATTGGATGTATAATCCTTCACAAAAACTCTTAAGATATGTGTTTTATTATCATTATAGTAATGAGAAGCAAGAATTTCATTAAGAGTAAATGAGAAATGATATACAAAGGTGATCGGATCAGTAGATTTAGATAATGGAATCTGATTCAAAAATTCAAAGTTTTGGTTATATAAATATGACTAATTGGATTAATTGGTTTATAGATAACATGGAATTCTTGACAATGTTGAAGAAATGGTTGTTCAAAAACTGTAGAAAGAGATCTCAGATAGGACCAAAGAATAATGGATCTTTGATCCTCCATTTTTATCAATTATAATATATTTAATAGTTATGAATACGTCTAATTGAATTTTTAATTAAATAAAAATTTATTCATATTTTTACTAGTGTTATTATTAAATTATAGTATTAAAATTGAAATATAGTTGGTAAATACTAAAAGATTCATGACTTTATTAATTTAAGTAAGTTATTATAATTTTAATAATTGTATAACAAGAGAAGAATTTTTACTATTGTAATCTATTTACAGCTGTGACTGTGTTACAAGAATAAAGCAATTTTTTGTTTAAAAATTTTTTGATTTATATTTTGTATTGTCAAAAGAACTTGTGTATTGTTATGCATATATATTATTAATATTTGTTAAAATTAACATTAAAATTAGATTAGATGAAATGCCAAAAGGAAAAATAAGAACTTATTGTTTGTTACTGTTGATTTTACAACTTTTATTCTTACATTTCTTTGCCCCAATTGACTTATTTTTGATTTAAGCAAACGTTAACATGTGTTTGTATATTTAGCACTAGCAAAAGTCCTTATATTTGATCAAATTAATGGAGAACTTAACTATAATAAAGGTGTTGAATATTTGTAAGAATGAACTAATTTTTAATAATAAAATTCTTTTTAATAAAATAAATATTATGTTATTTATTTTTTATAATTTTTAATTATATAGCAGCTAGTAAAAACTTCATTATTTTATTTGAATTTTGAATAAACCTCAAAAATATAACATATTTTTTAGCAATTAGTTTTCTTGCAATATGTACAGTACTATATTTACTTTCATTTTTTCTTTGAAAAGTAATAGGTATTAAAACTAATAAGCAACTTTTGTTATAGAGCTTTAACAATCATTATATTAGCAGCTTGGTTTGTTCTACCAAGTAAGTTTTTAAACATTTAGAGTGACTAATTTACAGTATTAAAAAGTAATCTTTTTAAACCTAGTTATTTACACCATCTTCACTATATATTGAATTAATCTGATCCCATTTGATTGTAAGTATTAAGAAGTAATTACTCAAATATATTAATATAAAAGTGGTAGAAAGATATAGTAAAACAAGAAAAAATATAGAGTTTTCAAATATAGTTAGCTAAAACACAAAAACCAAAATACAGTATATATAAAATATATAAAACTTCTAGTAAATTTAAATTATAGTTTATATAGCTGAATATTTTTAGTTGTATAATTGATTGATTTAATCTAAATATATAACTTGAGTTACCAAATCAATCTTGATTCGGGCCTTAACTTAAAAAAGTACTAAGCCTGCTACTTCAAGATTTTATGGTACTATATGTTAACTTACATTTAATAAGGATTGTTATTTTTTGAGCTTTAAAAAAAAATCAAAATCAATGAGCTAAATATTGCTTATTAGCTCAAAAAAAAAAGATAAAAAAACATATTCATCTATCTTTGCATCAGTATAATGATATAACAATATATTTTTAAGAGATTTTGAGTTATGTATTAAATTACTTCTCGAAGCGAAAAAAAATTTTAATCAACATATTTTAAAAATAAGTCATTATTTCTACTATTATATAATATATAGATTTCTAATACATGACGAAGAATATTAATAATAGTCATCAATTGATATCATAATTATTAAATTTTTAATCAAAGAAACTCTAGTCAAATTGTAATAAAATATAAATAATTGTACTAGAATTTTTTTTCTTTTTATTTTATTCAAAAAAATTGACTCTTTTTATTGTTAAAAAAGCAATATTTGAAACTGTAAGAATAAAGAAGAAATTATAAAAGTTTCAATCAATTTAATTTGAAAAGCATCAGATAGAAAAGTTGTTTTCATTAATTTAATGATCAATTATGATTAGCAACAACTGCCTTTGATAATGGCACTAATACTATATAAATTTGAATACTCCGGGAGTAATTCTTATGAATGAAGAAATCTTTAGAAAGATAATAACTGAGTTTGCTAAAAAAAACCTGAAGAACCTGTTTTAATTGAAGTAAGTATTAATAGATCTTTATGATTGACTGATGTTTTTGATACTCATAAAATGAAAACTTAGAGAATTCAAGATCATGATAAATCCTCACAAGTAGAAGAACCAGATAAATTAATGTATAATGTTCAAACTAATGAAAATAATACATTTAATTCAGATCACAAAATTACTGGTGAAACAGTTGTAAAAGCTGCCCAACCAATAAATAAAATTTTTAAAAGTTTAAAAAGAATTAAGAAAGATAAAGTAAGAAGTTTACTGTTTTATAGTTATCAGCTATTGATTGCTAATTTTGGTTTTAATTTCTGATATTTTTTTCTCTTGTCAAATTAATAAAGAATATGTTGAAATATCAAAACCAGGTAACAAAGTTTTAATCTATTAAATTAAAAACATATTTTAATCTTATTGAAACTTTAGCAAAGAGAAAATGTTAATTATGAGCCTGAAAATAATAAGGAAACAGAAAAATCTATAACCAGTAACCTGAATGTTGTCTTCAAAATACTTGAACAAATGAACCTAGCAAACAATAGTATACAAGCCAATGACATTTAATCTATTCAAGATAATGATCATGTAAGAATTTTCAACTAGTCAATTAATAAATTAAAATTATTAATATAATAAAAACTTGATAGGAAGAAGACTTTAATATAAGCGATAACGATTCATCTGAATGGTCAGAATGTGAAAAGTGCTATAGAAATAAAAAGGAATCATATGAATATTGTGGTTGTTCTGTATACAAATGAAAAGGTGACAGAGGTCACATCTTTTTGTGTGATAGTCCTTGTGGCAAAAATTTTCATACTAGATGTTTAAACCCTCCACTTGCAAGAATTCCTCCTGGAAAATGATACTGTAAGGAGTGTGAAAATGAGAATTTAAAGAAAACAAAAGATAAAATACATGATAATCAAAACATAAAAAAAAATTAAATAAATGATTGAAATCAAAAAATGATAAAAAATATAAGGCACAACAGAATACTTTGGATTCTAACAATGAAGACAGTCAAAATATAAAAAAAATTTTAAAGAAAAAGCAACGAATCATAATAAAAAAGTAAAACTTTATCAAATCCTTTAGGTACATATTATCATTTTGGCTAATTTATGTATATTAATGCTACATAATTAAATTTTTATAAAAATATAGAAAAATCAACTCTAAATAATGATGGCTCAATTAAAAATAAAGTAGAAAGTATTAATTTTCCTTCTTTAATTGTTGTTATAGAAGAGGATAAATACTATAGTAGTGGTATATAGGTAAACTCTAGTGTGATAGCAAAATTTACTAGTCTATGTTATTTATTTTGTTATTTTTATAAAGCAAATAGATGAAACAGAGAATGTGCTAGCAACCCAAACAGATACTAATATTCAAGTAAGTATTCATAATCAAATTTTGACAAATTAAAAATAAATTTACAAGTTATCACTAAAATTTATCAAATTACAAAGAAATTATTCATACAACTCAATAGCTCTCAAAGTTCAATTTCTCAAAATCTAACTTCTCTTCACTTAGTAAATCAAGTTGAAGGTTTAGTTGAAAAAGATAATACTTCAAACGAAGATAGTCAATCTTTACAAGTATGAAAAGCTTTAATAAGAGATCTGTTTAATTTTATATATATTATATTCCTACTTATAGTAAAAGTATACTAATATAGTTTTAGGTGTGCAAGTCATACTTTCTATATTAGTATAATACTACACCTAAAACTAAATATTAGAATCTTTTTACTATAATCTGAATATAATATAAACATAATTATAAACTTTAATTCTGACAGTTCATTATCTAAAATATATTTATTCATTTACTAAAAAGCTTGATCAGATAAGAATTATACATGAATATGTTAGCTTAACCCATGTTTAATACTAATAGGATTTGAAAATCTAGCAGAACAAAGTAAAAAAATATACTGATATCCAAATTAATGGAAATCTAATACCAATTATTATCCAAAATAATATACCAAAAAATAAAATAATAACCGAAATTTTTAGAAAAATATTTGACAAGTAGATTGAATTTTCACGCTCTTTACCACTGCCTATGGAAATTGAGAAGGAAGATGATATCAAAAGTCAGATTCAACTATTTGAAAAAAAATCAAAAATAATGAAAATGATTATCAATATTCAAGAGTCTTATATATCTATTCTCTTTGTGAATTGGTGCATATCTCTTTTAAGCTAATGAAAAGAATAAAGAAACTAAAGAAATCTAATCAATTCTTTGTTCTCAGCCACATTATCATAATCGATAAAGATACTGAAAAAGAGAGACAAGAAGTAAACCCAGAAGTAAATAACTGAAATCATGAATTTGCCAAAGGTGAAAGGATTGCAAGCTGTATAAATAAAATATTAGTAGAATCATCTACAATTTATTATAAAGATAAACTAGCAATAATCAAAAATATAATGGTTGCAGCCAGATGTTCATTGATACTTGTTCAATGATTGGGTTGGCAAGTAATTTATGATAGTGAAATGATTGATTTATCTAGGCTAAAAACTTATAGCAAAAAATGATTTTGTTAAGCTTATCAAAAGGATCGAAGAGAAAGAACTAGCAAGTAATAATGATTATTATAAGCTATCTGATAAAAGCTTAAAGAAAATAGAAGAGAGCTTTTAAGATTAGGTAGTTTAAAATTTTTATGATTAAATTTATTTTTTATTCATGTATTCAAGTTTTTCTTATAGTTCTTTTAGTAAAATTCTTATATGTGTTGCTTTCTTTATTTATAGATTTAGTTGTTATAAAATACATTTATTAACAATGCAGACTAATCAAATTTAATGATATACTATACAAAAGTTAGTTTTTGATACAGTAAATTTATTAAAATCAGAGCTTTTTGTCACCTGCAACAAAAGTTCGAAGTTACTCTTTTAATTTTTGATTTTAATAAATATATAATATCAAAAAACGTAACTTCTAAATTAATTGAGACTTTTTAGAAATATTTTTATAAGCAAAACTCTGTTTTATATATTATTTGATTTAAACTATAATATTATATAATAAGGTATCTTTTAACTACTAAAGTTTTTGATTTGATAAACAAAAATTTTTTAAAATAAATGCAAATCTACCGATTATAGATCTAACATACAGCACCAAAAGTTTTTGCTTTTCTTCATTAGTCGGTTAAATACAAATCTTGAGAGTTTTAAAGTTTTTAGATTCACCTTCACTTTTTCTGTAGACTTGGTTAAGAATTTTTATTAGTATATCTAAGCTTTATGAACCTTTTTAATTATTCGTATTTATTCATATTGGAAATTATGTCCATAACTAAATCTCAAATTTAATGTGTACAAAAAATACGTTTACAGATTTTTATATATAAACTATGTCATATATATATTAGTCATCTGATTTGTCACAAATTTTACATATGGTGACCCCCACAGCAAAACAAACCAGTGGGCAAAAAATTTTGATTTTGTAATTTTATAAAAATTGCATTTCTAATACTTTAATTCTTCGAGAAATTGAGTTTTTTAAAAAAAAATTTTTTTTGCCCACTGGCTTGTTTTGCTATTGGGGTTCCCATATAGAGGTTTTTTTTTTTTTAATATTAAGGTGAGGTTACACCTCTGGTTTTTATTAATATATAGTTTCGATAAACAATTATATATACATATACATTAACTTTATGAACTACAGAGACTTAGACTAATTTATCTACGATCTAAACCTACTAGAATAGTCTATGCCCCATATATGTATCACCTAGCTTTGTGCTTTCTAACTAACTATTTCTGGTAACTATATATTTTCCCCATATCTCACATAACCAGTCATAACTTTCAAGTTGGTACATCGGGTATTTGCTCCTAATAAGCTTCCAAATTGATGTATCTGCAAACATGATCTACTGCAAATCTCCTACCAGATCCTATTAGTGCAATCGTAATTGGTA